AACTGATCTGCTCGGCGGCATCGGAGACGCTGGTCACTATCACATGGGACTGAGAGTCCAGGACAAGGAACCTGCCAGATAGAGGAGGGGGAGGGGAGGTCAGCACTCCATATATGTGTATACAATGTCACCTACAGCCATGTCCCCCCCCCCAGAGGTCACCTATAGTACAGAGGGGGAGATGACTTATAGTACAGAGGGGGGCCCCCCTCCATGCGGTATATTCGGTTCCTCACCTTCCAGTACAGGTCCCCACGGCTACGACGCTCCCAGATGGGTGGAAGGCGGCCGCTCTGGCAGAGTCCTGTGGAGGGAAGAGGACAGATTATGGAGGCGCTCCCGTCATGCTACATACGTGTTCCGGACTCCATACACGCCCACGTTTGTAGATAATTGGAGGACAGAGTATGGTTACTAGATCCCCAATTATGAATGAATGGGAAGTGATCTACATCCCCTCCTACATCACTTCCTGTCCATTCATGATTGTGGATCTACATCCCCTCCTACATCACTTCCTGTCCATTCATGATTGTGGATCTACATCTCCTCCTACATCACTTCCTGTCCATTCATGATTGTGGATCTACATCTCCTCCTACATCACTTCCTGTCCATTCATGATTGTGGATCTACATCTCCTCCTACATCACTTCCTGTCCATTCATGATTGTGGATCTACATCTCCTCCTACATCACTTCCTGTCCATTCATGATTGTGAATTGGGGGCTGGAACTTCTCGCTCAGCCTCACAGAGACACAAGCACACGGTCTGATCTGCTGCACATGGCTGGTAACAGGAAGGAAGCCGCAGCTGTATCCTCTACAACGGAGTACTGCGGGAGTTGTTACTATAGAGATAGAACACTGCCACCTAGTGACCGGACATGTGTACTGCGGGAGTTGTTACCATAGAGATAGAACACTGCCACCTAGTGACCGGACATGTGTACTGCGGGAGTTGTTGCCATAGAGATAGAACACTGCCACCTAGTGACCGGACATGTGTACTGCGGGAGTTGTTACTATAGAGATAGAACGCTGCCACCTAGTGACCGGACATGTGTACTGCGGGAGTTGTTGCCATGGATACAGTAACGTGTACTCTAACATGGGGTGATATTCATCCTGTACACAGACTGCCCCCCCCCCGGCAGTGACTTACCTCCAGCGTGGTGCTCCAGACCGGTTGGTGCTCTTTGCTGTTCCAGAGGTGAACAAGCTTGTCATGGCCGCAGGTCAGGAAGAGATCACGGGACGGGTGGCGGCAAAGTCCCCACAGCTCATCCGTGTGACCCTACGAGAGAGAAGCTGATTGGTCATTTCTCTGTACAATGCGGACCTGACACTGAGCGCGTGGCTCCATGACCGTGGTCAGTGCCGTGTGCAGATCGGGGCGTGATGGTCCCATGAAGGGGGCGGTGCCGTGTGTGCAGATCGGGGCGTGATGGTCCCATGAAGGGGGCGGTGCCGTGTGCAGATCGGGGCGTGATGGTCCCATGAAGGGGGCGGTGCCGTGTGTGCAGATCGGGGCGTGATGGTCCCATGAAGGGGGCGGTGCCGTGTGCAGATCGGGGCGTGATGGTCCCATGAAGGGGGCGGTGCCGTGTGTGCAGATCGGGGCGTGATGGTCCCATGAAGGGGGCGGTGCCGTGTGTGCAGATCGGGACGTGATGGCCCCATGAAGGGGGCGGTGCCGTGTGTGCAGATCGGGGCGTGATGGTCCCATGAAGGGGGCGGTGCCGTGTGTGCAGATCGGGGCGTGATGGTCCCATGAAGGGGGCGGTGCCGTGTGTGCAGATCGGG